ATGTATTTTTTTTAATCGCACAAACTGAAAATTCTGAAGGAATCCACAGTGAACATTGCGTAAAATCCATAACACCATACAACATTATTTATTTCAATATTTCATTAGTGTTCGTACATTCATATCGCACACATAATATTTCGTTAAAATTAACGACGAAGTCTATCATACGCCGCACATCTATACGAGAGAATTAACACATTTTCCATAGTACGCAAAGAATGCACGAAGAAACTTAAAAAAAGTATCGGCTCAATATGTCGGTATCTCGATTCTTCTTATACGTGGCCGGAAGTTGATTTTATCGCGAAAATCGCTATGCGTCCATAAAATCGACCAAAGTATAGTTCAGCACGTGTTACGTATATATATCTATGTTTTTAAAATTTTTTCTAAACGATTTATTCGATAACTTGCGCGGAGAGATTTCAGTTTTTCGCGCATTTGCAATCATAATCGTCGCCGATTTGAAATAAATCTCTGTTTTCCCGTCATATCGTTCATCGCGATATGGATACGACCATCGTTTCGACACACTCACCACACTCGCACACTGATATCACTCACTGTGTATACACAACGTACATCAATCTTGTCCGTCTTGTTCATTAATTGATTTTACATGCACACATTCAAGCGACAGACTCACATGAACGCTCGTTTAATCTGCGCCTCTGAATGCAAGCGGAGTTTCTTCCCGGATTTTTTCCCTTAAATATATAATTATATGTACATTTTTATAAATATAATTATATATTTATTATATATATACAATTCTCGTAAAGATCTTTTTCTCTAACGCGAGAATTTTCAAAGTGTGTTACAACAGAAATTCTCTAATGGCTGCATCATACATTTTCCGTGTCTGCTTTCTTTTTTTTTTTATTAAATTAAATAATTATTACGTTCCTATTAATGCTGAACATTTGAAAAAACAAGAGATATCCGTGAAATATATATATAATTCTAGAGGAAGAGTAAGAGTCATAATCAAAGGAGAAAATACAAATACACTTCGTGAAAGTTTTAAAACTTGTTACTTTGATGTGAGATATTGACAAAACTTACATGCCGATAAAAAAATATTACAGAATGTTTACTTTTTGAAACGCAAAATATAAATTTAATAATTCTCTTTACTTACAAAATTTTTTCATCGTACGTAATAATATATTTTTTTTTCATTTGTGTAACAATTTCCGCGAGAAATTCTTTCTGAAAATTTTTGTATGTAGATTTTACAGATGCGATACACAACTGAACCTGGCACTTATAAGAATGCTAACATTTAATCAAAGTGGTGTTTCTATTGACATCGATTTTCATTAAATTACTCTTTAGTATCGAAATAACGGGATGGGCTTTATGAAATACCAACACGCTGTATCGAATTATTTGTTTCTATTTGGTATCCGAAAGTAATCCTAGGTTATATTGTAACCGATATCCATTTCCTGTTTCCGTTTCAATTAAAAAAAAATGTTCCCCTCATACGCCCTTTCTCTCCCGAGTGCGTTTCCTATCTCGCGCTCTGTAATAAAATATGATTTCCCCCTTTGCAATATCGTGTGTCATAAAACGCACCCGTATTTTTTTTGTACATAAAATACATAGCACAAAATATTCGAACCTCTTCTCCTTTTATGAGAAACGAAAGATCGTGACACGTACATTATATATATACATATAGAAGATCAATAAAACTGAAAATCTATTATTAATACAACACAAAAACTCGCTACCAAACGCAATAAATGAAACAGATATATAGCTCAAACGTATCATTTTCATTTATCGGATGAAAAGTTATATTTTCCTAAAAAAAAAAAAAAAAAAAATTTTAATTTGCAAACACGGAAGAAGTTCGATTCGTAAGAGAAATAGCTGTGAACTGGGGAAGAAAAACTCCGCCTACAATTTTTGTCAGGCGCAGAAACGAGAATATCTGTATTGCTATACTTGTAAATCACAACCAACGGAGTATCAGTTTATCAACTAGATGTGTTGTATATATATATATATCTCTTTTTTATTTTTAATACGTATCTAGAGTTGTAATCTTTATATCGAGCAACCAGGCCCGATCACCAATGTGGGATTCTCACGTATCGCGAATCGTTTCGCGGCATTCAAAATGGCAAATTATTTTTTTTAAACATATTTTCTTTTCATATAAAAAAAGAGAAAAATTGCGGTTGAAGATATCGAACAGGATCAAGGAAAGGGATTAAAATGAGCTGCGTGCCGATTCGCAAAACGCTCATCGAGAATCGAACTGCTGATACGTATATTATAGTGTAATATACGATATAATATACAATATATAATATAATATCATAAACTATATATGTATATATATATATATATGTATATATATATACGCATATGAAATTCCTACCCAAGGCATCCGAAAAGTTTAACATCTATCTTCTGAGAAGAAAAAATGAGAAGATCGGAGGTAATGCATAGAGAAAGAGAAAGTCATGAAAACGTTTCCTTTTGCTGAAGAAAAATGCGAGCACTTTGGCACTTATTAATGTTTTGTGTAAAAATAAATAAAAAAAATTATTTTCAAGCTTGATATAAATAAGTGTCGTTTTATATTTTATAGATAAAAAGCCAAGATGATTATATTAATGTATAAAACACAAGACACAGCCATTTCCACAATGATAAAAGTCCTTTAATTCATTTAATTAAAAAAGATATGTTTACATTTGTATACGAAAGTTGCTAGATTTTTTTACGTCAAAAACCGCAAAGCTGTAAATTCCATTTAAATAAAATTAGTGCAAAGCGTGCACCGACCATTTTTTTTCCCAGAGAGAAGAAATTATGTATGTTTTATGCAAATGAGATTCATGTGGCAGCTTTGCAGGAAATGTAATCCAACATCTCAGCTGTGCAAATTCAAAACTATTCGTAGCGCATTATGCAAGACGAGAGTTGCGAAGAAAAAAGTTTTAATACTCATCTAAAATTGTTCTTTCCTTCCATCTCCTCCTCTTTCTCTCCTCTCTCTCTTTCGTTTTCTCTTTTCTTGGGTAGGAAGCAACATTGCATCGGAGAGTATAACTCGAGTAAAGAAATGTTCCCTATCCTAGTAATTAAAAATCTTATGTCGTTCGTAGCACGGCTACGAACGTGTTCTCACAACCTTATCACAACCTTATTATAGAGTGCCCTGGTGACGAGATCGAATTATCGGGTCGTACGATCCGTCCGATCTATTTTTTTCTATTCACCCTACCAATTCACCATTTAATCCATCGTTTTGGCGCGGCACTCGAGGAGATGGCGGTTTTTTTCCGCCTGTTCCCTCGTGTTTTTTTTTTATCATTAAAGATACTTTAAATTGTATTCTGGTCATATAAATAGTACTTCGCGTATGTTACGTTTGTGTGAGTGTGTATGTATATGCGTGTGTGTGCGCGTATACGTGATTCTCTACAGGATATATCTCGAAATCACCGATACATATTTTATTGACAAGCGACGAAGTCGCGAGAGTGGATGGTTCGCTTGAGAGTTTTACTCTCGAAAGTAACTCTTAATAATGAAAGCGATTCAATAAAGAAAATCGAGGCTTGTAATTTTGCATTCAGGGAATTCTCAAACGAATACACTTGCGAATAATCTATTTCGATATTTCATAAAATGTTGATAAAAATATCCAACTTCAGGAATATTGTACATACACAGAATGAATAATATATACAGAGAATGTCATTCTATTATCTCGTCGATGAGTATACGATGAGGAATTGTAAATTAAATTTGAATAACAAAAACGCGATATTATTGCACGTCGGAAGAAAACTTTGAAGAGAAGCCGTTATATGAATAAACTAAAGTGGCTGTCGTTAAAATTGATGGAACGGCGATTCTCTCCGGTAAATCGTGTAGAGACACGTGACGGTGTAAAAGCGCGCGTCAACGTGAATATATATCGGCAGGTGATTTAAAGTGTGACTTTAATGACTACAATTCGCGGTCGTGATCGAGCGCGGTGCGAATCACGAAAATTTATGAGCCGGTGTTGCGTTAACGTCGGTGACGCCGAAATAACGACCGTGTCCCGTCGGTGACGAACGACGCTCCTTTTATATGTATAATATATATATATACGCTCGTCCCTGTTTTCTTACAACGCTATACACGCTCCGCGATTGAGAGGGAGAGACTTATGGCTGAGTAATTAATTATTCACAACCGTAATACTTGTTAACGATCGGCAGAGACGTACACAGGGTGCCCCAGATTTAGTGTACCACTCGTTAATGGGAAATTCTTTAGGCGATTTGGAGACGATTTTTCCTCAGCGAAAATGTCCAGGCACCAATCATTTTCGAGTTGTAAACGATTAGAAATTGAAAGCTTTTTTGTAAATTAAGGCTTGTGTGAAAATAAATTATTAACAAAACTACATTTTTTAGTTAATTTCAGGTAATGTTTACTTGAATAAAATTTTAATTTAAGGCTTAATTACAAAGATACATGATTTAAAAAATTGAGAACATTAAAAAAATGATGATCTTCCTCGAGATTTTTCCTCAGCGAAAATGTATAGGTACCAATAATTTTCGAGTTGTAAACGATTGGAAATGAAAGCTTTTTTGTAAACTAACTAATTTCAGGTAAAGTTTACTTTAATAGTATTTTAATTTATAAGACTTAGTTACAAAGATGCATGATTTTAAAAATTGGGAACATAAAAAAAATGATGATCTTCCTCGATATTTTCGCTGAGGAAAAATCATCTCCAAATAACCTTAGGAGTCTCCCATAAACGGATGGTACGGTAAGGTTGGGACACCCTGAATATATGTCCACCGCGATCGGCACCTACTTAAAATGTACGAATATTTTCTCCGTTTTGTCGTTGGTAAGAAAAGCACGTCCTGGATTTTTTCTCTGCTCCTTATACTGCTTTCTTTCTCATCTAATATCTCCGGAAAACTGCGCATCGACGAACTTTTGCCGAAACTTGTCGCGCGAGGAAAGAAATCGACGATGACCTCGATTCCGGTAACGAGTATTGTTGATGACCGTGATAGATCGTACTTTTATACCTTCTCGAAAGTGCTAAATTCAATATATATCATTAATCATTTGCTAGCGGCTAGAGATTAATCTCGGGAACCGCGGATGAGATTCATGAAGCTGATGCAGCTTCTTCTAGTATAGCATTCGGAGAGGGAAGATGGTAGCCGACCGACACACACAGCCGCCCAGGAAGAATAATTTTCCTTTATTATTCCCGCGAAATAATTTCCCTTCGCAACTTTTGCCCCTCCTGGGAACTGTTCAGGGTCGAATTAGCGCCGGCTTGGCTGCCAATCTTGATTGCAACGCGCAGCCTGCATCTCTCGGATGAAACTACATCCATTTCCTCCGCCAACGTCTTCTTGAAATCCTTGATAAATTTTCGCGAAACTTATGACGATAAGTGCACATCGCTCTTCTGGTAGAGTTTTCACTCTGGCAATCCGTTATGCCGGTTGAAGGAAGCAGATTTCTATGACGTTTCAGTTTTTGTTTCAAAAACAAAACTTTGAAAGTCGCTTGAATTTAAATGTAAAAACTCTGGGATAATTTGTATTTAGGTCGACACGGCATAATTAAGAGTCTAGACTAATTCTATCAATTTTCATAATTTTTCGCGCAAACGGAAATCTTTAATTTCTCCTTGTCATTTTTTATTACGATGTAACGAGAATTATTGAAACTCGAGCACAAGGTTCTCTCCTTTCCGAGATAACTAGCCGAGCATTGATATGAATTTCTCTTTCACAAAAAGTATGAAATAATCGTCTTCTTCGAATATTATTGCTCGATCGACATTTTAATTAAACGCCAAAACTAAATGATCCGCGAATTTCGTAGAGTCGATTTATGACTTGTCGCGAAACAATACTACTTCCATCAATTTACAATTGAACTTACTTGTTCCAGATTCTCTGGCTTCGTGAAATCATCGTCGTCGTCGTCGTCGTCTTTGTGCTGACTGCGTTTAAGTTCTCGCCGCTTAACGAGCTGCGAGAGGCGAACAAACGATCGGTGGTAAGCGAGGCGTGAAAATTCCCGTGAATTCCTACGCGCGAGCGATGCGCTTCTCCCTGGACGAAGAACTTATTGAACGGCTCTCTCGTATTTGGCGATCCTAAAAGAACCTCAGCGGATTCGCAGCAGTCGCCTGAACGCTTTTCTATAATCGAGATTGAAGATCGTATAGATGAGGGGATTGAGAGCGCTGTTGACGTAACCGAGCCACGTGATGAAGTACACCATCCGCTCCGAGGGGCAACAGGCCGGGCAGAACGGCACGATGACGTACATGAGGAAGAACGGTAGCCAGCAGACGACGAAGACGCCCATGATGACGCCCAGGGTCCTCGCTGCGCGCCTCTCCTTGGACAACGAGATCCGCTGTCGTTCCTCGATAAACTGATAGACGGTCGTCGAGGTGGTGACGGCGCCGCCGCCGGCGCCGCGTCTCGTGGACGCGGTCGTTCCGCGGTCGTTGCCGCCTATCGTCATCTCGGTAGGCTCGTCGTCGATCAGCGACGGCTTCGCCTGCAGACGGGGCGTCGAGCGCTCGTTGTGATTCGTCTCCGAGCTGACCGACTCCTCGGCGTCGTCGGTCTCGCGGTGTCTGGTGGACTGTACCGGGCCCAGCCTGCTCTGCCGAGCTCTTTCCCGTAATCTCCTGCGCGTCGCTAGGAAGATCTCCAGGTAGACCAGGCTCATCAGCAGTAACGGGATGAAGAACGAGCCCAGGGAAGAGTAGACGATGTAACCCTTGCGTCTCGTGAGTTGACAGGGTGTACCTGGTTCTAGTTCCTCCGGCCAGTCGTTCCAGCCGGCTAATGGTGGCGAACTGATGGCGCCCGAGAGGATCCAAACCCCGGCGATCGTCCCGAGGACTCGTCTGAGGGTTCGCTTCTGGGCGTAATTGATGGGATCGGTGATCGCCCAGTATCGGTCCAGCGCGATCGCGCAGAGATTCAGGATGCTAGCGGTGCAACAGAGGACGTCGCACGTCAGCCACAGCTTGCACAGATGAATACCGAAGATCCACTTGCCCAGCAGCAGGTAGGCTACGTTAAACGGCATCACGAGGATCGCCACCGCGAGATCGGCCACCGCCAGCGAGACGATGAAGAAGTTCTGGACGATCCGGAGCGGCCTGTATGTGAACACGCTCAGGATCACCAGGACGTTGCCGAAGACCGTCGCCACCACGAGGAAGCTCAGGGTTAGGGTGGCCACCACCGCCTCCCACGTCGGTAGATTCGAGCCTGTCTCCTCTTCCGGGACGCTGCAGCCTCCGACCTCGTAATCTTCCGACATCGTTCCGCCAGACTCTCCGCTTGAGTTCATGTCGTCCAGGGTGCCTCTGCAAGTCAAATCGTTCTTATGGTGAGTCCAATTTTCTCTCCTGTTTTGTTTTTTTTACTCTTTTTCATGAATTGGTGCACATACTTATAAAGCGCGCTCGTTAACTCTGATATTAAACAGCTGTAATGTAAAAGCGAATGGTTTAAATATGCAAAAATTAATTTGACTTCGAAATACGCGAAAACGTACGTTCGATTTAAGCAACGTTCAATATGGCGAAATATAAATTTCGCTGCAAAATTGCGATTGCATACTTTTCAAGTAATGTACGATCGTAAACTACAAGCAGCAGAATATATTGAGTCTCAAACGAAAATTAATGCGAACTTTGTATTCCTTCTGTGAAAATTCTACGGTTGCGGAAATGTATTCGCCAATCCAATTCGCTTATGTCAGCCAAACTTTTCTCTGTCAGTTTCTCGATAACGTTGATCGAGGAGTTAGGTTTATCCAGACCATGTCGAATCGAGCTAAAAAGAGACACGAGCACGTCTGTACATGTGAAAGCGATTCAAAAGTTCCGACAAGTCCGCAATTTCTCCCGAGTTTCTACCAAATCACTTGTAATTGTGTCAATCAAAAGACGTCCCGAAAAGAAATTCCAAATGAGCAAAAATAAAAAATTCCAAATGCTCTCATTCAGTTCAGGAAACATTTAACACTTTTGAACTTGCGCGAAATATCCCATACTTTCACAACAATGGATTTAAATTTGAACGCGCGATAGTATTTCTTGTAGAGCTTCTTTCTCAATTTAGATTTATGGAATGTAAAATTATAGATTTCGTTGACAGCACTTTACGCTGCTTCATTAAAAACAGCTCCGAAATGAAAGATTTAAGCGATCGTCATTATTCATATGCATATTCAAAGCCACATGGCTGGTTTGAAAACGACGAGTAGAATTATTAACATCGTTAATAAATCGCAGCGTCAAGCGTTGCAGCGACGCTTTTTCCCGACGTTACAAATTATCGAGCTGCAGATTGCGACGTATATACATTATTCGGCTACATGCAGCAGAGCGGGGTATTATTTTCTACACGAAAGAGCCCCCCCGTGCAAGAAAATGTTTCCATTTTTGTGTGTCACATGCTGGAAACGTCGCCGATAAAAATATATAGTTTAACGACACGCGCGCCAAGATAGAAACGAACAAAGATCCCGTGTGAAACGAAAATAAATAAAGCGAGATCTTCCAAACCGTTAAAGATGCCCTGCCAATTTCACGCCATTCTCTTTCTCTTACGATTAAATTTTTCTTTCTTTTTACCTTCCCTTTGAAAAGAGATCGCATTCCGCGCGACGCGAAGCGTCGAATGTCACATTTTTCACGTTCTCTCTCACAATTACCACTTGGTGATCACGGGAAAACATCGGTCCCTCGAGTAACTCGGTTTTGTTTGCCACTCGTCGTGTGTCAAAACTGTCGAGTGCTTCATCATCCTCGTATTCAGTCTGCCCTTTCTCTCCCTTTCTCTCTATCTGCTCTTCTTCCTCCCTCGATTTCTCCGCGTCAATTAATTCAAAGCGCGAGAGAACTGTCGAACTTCAATTATTACACATGTTCACCTACAAGGCAAATATTGATTTACTTAATGCCGAAGGGGGCTGTGAAAGCACCCGCGAAGTACCGGAAAGTACTCTTCAGAGGGCTGTAGCCAGCGAATCAGTGAACCGCAAAATGAATAAAAAAAAAAAAGATATCGCGATGAGATGTTAATCACTGGAAAAACCACGGTCAAATTGCAGCTAAAAGCTCTCTCAGAAATCGGCCGCTGCTGTATCTCGGACGAAAGCTTGCCGTTATCGAGCCGCAGGTATTTGATTAAAGCAATCACGGAACTTCCATAATACGTAACATCGTTTGAGATCGACTTTGTTAAGCTTATCCGACTCAATTGCGTTAAATTCGCCCTAAACCGAGATATCGGTTCCGTTCTTCATTCCGGAAACGGGATGAGGTCCGATGATTGCGCAAAGAGGAGGAATCGAGAGATTGATTGCGGAAATCGACGATATTCGCGACCCACTTACCTCGCATACATTTTGATTGATCGGTTAAATTGAAAGAAGCGCGGTGGTTATTAAAAAGGTACTGAATTGCGGTGAACATACGATATATAAGTTTGCAAAACCACGCGTTTCCAGTCGTCTCGCACGCGAATCTTCACACACAAACGCACACAGACGTATTCCTCTCGCATGCAACGCATTTATAAACTTTCAAGAAAATCACCGCGCGTGTAACATTGAAACTTCTCGCAATAATTAATGCGCAGAAATCATTAATCACGCGACTGCGAGGCGACCGGGATGCGCAAAATCGGAGAACAATATACGTATACGCACAACAAAATACTCCGAGTATTTTGAGTCGCACAGTTGACGTAATTCCGCGCGTAAATCAGCCCATCCGTGAAATTCTCTTTGGCTATACATGTTATAAGTTTCTGTAAAAAAAAAAAAAAAATAAAAAAATAAAAGAACGAAGGTAGAGCTTTCTCGCACCCTGTTCTCACCGCAACATCGTCCACGAGTGAACACGCCGTCCTAAACAATTCGATTATAACTCCGTCGTCAACGGGTTTTCCGTTCAACTGGATTACAAGCCGAACGGGATCGTCATTCGGAAAATTGCGTCAGCGTCGAAATTCTCCCCGAAAACATCGTGTGTAGATATATCGTTCGCTGGAATATGTTTCGTTCGAATTTTCAGGGCGTGTTCGCGGAGACCGAATTTATCGTCGGACATAAATTGCTGCTGTCCTTAAAATTCTGTGAGGCGTGGATATATAAAAAAAAAACGGGGTTTGTTGACTTTTCGTCAGTATCACGTCACGTAGGATAAATTTCGCGCAATCGATAAATTCTGTTTTACATAGGCCGCAGCCTAGATACGCGATGTAACGTTACGTGACGCTGGCAGACTTTCTTATGCGCTTTCGCACACGAGTCAGAATGAGCTCGCGACAATCTCGCATTCTCAAGCGGCATATTATATAAGTTTCCATCGCGTTTTAAAATCAATTATGCGCACTTTCGTCGGAATTGCATTCTCGCGAGATGGAAAATTTTATCGAAATAATTCTTTTCAACCCGCGATTTTCCTATGTAGGGCGCTCCAATTTTCCGCGGAAAATCACCTTCGGTTTCGTCTTCTCGAACTTTTGATCAAAATTCTTTTACTTTTGTACCTCGTAATAATAATGTAATATTAATATAATAAATCTAAAACCCCTCGAGGGAAATATTTCATTTCAAGAGAGAGAAACAGATCTGTCTGGATTCGCTAAGGTTGTCTGCTATAACTTCACTACAGGATTTTAGTTTGCTTAAGCTTATAACTAGAATGTCCCAATTAAAGTACGTCAACTGCAGCGACTCGTAGTTGCTTTCGAGTTTTGATTAGAATAGAAAGTTCCGATCGACTTCAATTATAAAGCCTGCGTTTAAATGACGCCTTGCTTTTTTATTATATTGTGGTTTTATTGCGACGGTCTTATCGAGAGATAAACCTGTTAAATCTCACACCATAATAATTTATCAGGCTTAAACAATCTCTATCTTGCTTAATGCCTATTTTTATATACAGGATGCATCTAAATAAAACGAAAAGTTAGTTTCATTCCCTTATAAAGGATACAGGAAGATCGAAAAAATATTAATGTCCTTTTCATTAGTGGAAAATATCCACCAAATTTCATTTTAATTTGTCTCAAGTTTGAAAAATATATAAAAACTTAATTTTTACTTCTTTCTTTAGAAAAGTGTGATTCCTCAGGGAGAGATGTAAGAGTATATAAGAAACCCCTCTTAATTTTCGACAAAGAATATCATTTCCTAAAATGTTTCGTCTTTATTTAAATACACTCTGTATATATAAACGATCTTTACATTCGAAGAAGATTTAATACATAAAGAAGATTTTGTTTCAAAGAAATGGATGCATAATACATGCATTTTCTTGAAGAGGCAACGTTAAACCCTTTCTTGCGCTTGACGTTTCTCTTAAAACAAACACGTAATAATGTTGCCTATGGATAAAGCCGATTATTGCTCATTAACTCGAACATTTATACGAGTGTTCCATTATCGATAGTAATATCTTCTCGCTGCGAAGGATAACAGTGGATATTCGCATAATGGTAAATATCCATTGATTTCGCGAGTTAAACATGAGACAATAACAAGATAATACCATTAGTATTACACGCGTTTTGTATGTGTGTGTGTGTGTATTAGGATGCACCGTTCACTTCATCAGTTGATCGAGCTCTAACTCGTAATGTTTCGAGTGCAGAGCATTAACAGCGGAATGCCATGCCTCTGTCTCTCGATAGCAATCGATGAGGCGCAATTGGCATGAACGCGAAAGGGCGCTTGTCGAATATTCGGAACCATCCTGACGTTAATCACGAATCGGGTCAGCTGGCTTTTAAATCGCTCGTGTAATCATCAAGTTATATTATTCTCGATCGATTGACTGGCCGACTAAGATTGGCAGCAACAATATATTTCAACAATATTTGTCATAATAACAAGGGCACAAATTATGTTGCCGATTTTTTAAATTGTCGTAATTCGGGTCTGCGAATATCTGGCGAATCTAAATTAAGTAAAATAGAGAGAAGAGAGAAACGAAATAACAAACCAAAAAATAGGCTCGGTCGTTTTTAGTCATGCAAGATCACGCTATGGGATACAACGAAATCAGCCCCTTCAAGTCAATTACACTCGGTGTAAATAAATTGAAGGCGCAATTGACTTTGGACATAAGCCAGAAATCGGAGAAAGGTATTTCGAAATAATTGGATTTTCGCACGGCGAAGTCGTCGAGGTGCGGCCTTAGTTCTTCGCCTGCGAAAATTATCTATCGTTGTTTTCTCTATCTAACGATCTTCTTCGATTGAAAGATTTAATGGCAAGACACTTACTGTCGGGTCCAGCGCTATACGCGTCCGGTCATTCATGCGAAACCGTCAGAGACACATCGGCTGTCACATTTTGATTCCCTGCCTCGCTTACGACGATCGGTCAGCTGATTTCAGCAAGGATTACGAGTCGAGTCGATCATCGGCTCCCACCGGATTACACCGCCTGCAATGAAAAGCGAGAAGATCATTAGACTGCGAAGACTCCTCATATAAGTTCGCGCGACACGCGAGATACAAAATTATATAATGTAATTTGGAAGAAATCGACTTCCGATAAAAGCGAACTGAAAACCTTCCTTCTTTTTCCGATAATATCGGAGAAACTGTTGAATTTCCGATAAATTATAAATCTTAATTCTAATTTATAGCATATCCTCTATATATCATTACGTTAGGCGTCACTGATTTTTACATTTACCACCGGTGTATGTGCATGTGGCAAATAAAAATAGAGTTACGTTCGCAATACTCGTCGCATTGAACGGATGCAATAAAATGGAACGCGTAAATACATAGCAAATGTACCCACATCGAAAAGTTTGCTTCCATCTTTTTTCCCTCTTCCAAGTGGGTTTTACCGGGGCGAGGGAAAATTTAATTCGAGGAGAGTTAACCCAGTTTCGGAAGAATGTGTGTACGCGAGAAGATTCATCCATATATATATATATATATGTATACATAAATTCGCATTTGTAAAGTGAGATACTTCGCAACAGCAAACTTAAATAACAACCAGTATAGTGAAAGCAGGCGCGACAAGTAGTACGAACCAATCGCGGGTCGTCTTCGGGCGAAGAGGTTGTTCTGCAAGGATGTCGTTTTGCAAATTTCATGTTAAAGTAATAAAAGTTTTGTGCGAATCCCGCAAGTAGTAAAACCGTCCGCAAGCTTGTATATGACCGCTACGTTGTGGCGGGAAAACCAGAAGCTTTTCGGAAATTTGAGTTTGTTATAAATTAAAACAGAAAAGATGACTGTGGAGAACAATGTGAAAAAGCACATTGTAAATACTCGAGTTTTTTAATTTCAAATTACAATGCAATTCATTGTATTCGCAATGCTCGTATTTCCTTTCTCGCCAGAAACAAATTATCCACCATTTTTCATCAGCGTTTTATAATACAACATAAAATTCTAACAAGACTAATTCAGATAATAAGCAAAACTAATATTCACAGATACTAAGTAGAAATTTTCTTCCCAAAAATAATAAGGAAGATTCATGCCATAATTCATTATCACGCCAGCGTACTAAATGAGTTTTTACGCTAACATTCACAGTGCAATAATTGCTAATAGAATACTGTAAAAAGTAAAGTACCGTACACTTTTTTTTATTAAAGTAATAAAGTGCACGTAATCACTGTCCGCGACGTTATTCAGAAAGAAAAGTTGTCGCAATTTGCGGAAAACAGAGGTACACTCTCCGTGTACACGAAAGATTTTTCTATGAATGTGACAATAGTCGCCTTTCGCAGTTAAGAAGTTAAATCGACGTTATGACATGTTTTATATATCTCGTCTGCAGCAAATTTCCACTTTGGAAGGTGTTCGATTTTTGCGAAAAGAGGACAAATGTCTGCGCGCATGAGGATCGAGGAAACAAAAAGAGATTTAAATCGTATGATGGCACGGGATGACACTGTCACTACCAAGTTTCTGTTGTGAAATAAAATTTCGACTGTAAGACTCGACAAAGTAGAAACGCACTTATAACAGATGTCGAATATCCCTGAGAAAAGTACGGCGTACTTTCGAGAGATATAAAATATATCGCGCAAAGTATTATTCAATAAGTTCTGAAATACGTATCTTGAGTGAGATTTGAATTTAATTCGCGATACGAGCCTATTCTTCGCAAAAAGGTATTATTAACTTTAAAAAATACCTTGACACGGAAAGAGAGAGAGATGGAAAAACTTGTGCAAGGGAGAAAAGATGCCGAGGTAGAGTATAGAAGAGCCTTAACGAAGAAACATTAAACATACACATAAGAAAGAAAAATGAATAGCAAAAAGGAATATAATGTGTTGCAAAAAGTGTACGAGAGAGCGCGGAAGGTGTTTCTTGAAAAGTATATATCTGCGTTGTTCCCGTCGTAAATTCGTATCTTAGTTATTATTCCAGCAGCATCTCGCACTCGCTATTCACCGAACTGGCATATCGATTCCTACGGGATTCATTTCTGAGTCGAATTCGCTCGTAAATGTAAACAAGAGATCGCACAGACTGGCAATTGACCTGGTCGAAATTTATTATACCGAACAACTTGGCGAAAGAATCGCCTTCAACTGTCAAGTGCGATATCTACCATTTTACCCTTAAATAGCAAAGGCAAATTAATTATGCCATAAACAGCGCACATTACTCGAATATTTTGATACTAAATATAATCTTTCGAACAAACTAAGTACTTTTCTACCACCTCTACATAGCAAACTTTCAACTATTCCCGGCTTTAAACTAGGTATTCTAATCGTTTCATTTTACGGGGCTAGTTTAAATAGAGTAGTTGTAATCTGATAACCGTAACACCTTAATCACTTCATTATCTGATGTGTACAACCTGCAGTAGATAGCTTTAATTTTGAATAAATTCAACACTTTGTCTTCTTTCGTTGTATAATATCACGATATTATAATAATATACAGTATATTACGGAGTAATCTTTTATATAGGAATAATTTAAATTCTACGAGACAAAACTTAAATCCAAAGATCTAGAAAAATAACAATATAAATCAAGGGTAGCATATATTCTTAGAAAATTCACCGTTACGGAAAGTTCACTATTGTATGCATACGTCGTCGGATGTATTTCACATTTCACGAAACGAATTTTACGCAGCAAAAAGAAAGATTGGACGGGATATTATCTTGTGCTACGCTCACACACACACACACACACACACACACACACACACACACACACACACACACACACACACACACATACATATATATATATATATACATATAACCGTTTTCCATTGCATGTATTTCTCTTGCTGGATTTCGCTGATGGATCTTTCTCATCGAGAAATTGCTGTTCACTCTAAGGAAGCTTATTTCGCGATCTTTTCCGTACAAAGATTGTAACGTGTAAGCAGCTGCTGCCTGAAAGCCTCGTAGTTTTCATAAATTTACATTTTGAATGAATATAAAAGCCGAACTTAAACGTCCACGAGAGGCAACGCTGTTTTTTCCGTCCATATACGCATATATATATATATAAATTCTGTTTTCCACTTGTAGCTATATATATATATATATATATAATGATATCCCGCAGGTTTAACTTTTCCAGTAATTGTAGTAAACATTCGAGTAATATTAAAAGTGGTTTTTGAGCAGCGCAACGTTATACGCGTCATAATAATTTGCATATTTTCGTCGAATTTTCCTCTATTCTCCTCTAGTTATGCCAAGTTTTTACCGTGAAACTTTGTAGACGTTGTTAAACAAATAGTTGTAAGTTATATACAATACTTTCGATTCTTTTCTTATTCGTGAGAGCTTTATCTTAATAACTTATCAAGATTTTACTCGTGTCCGAAATGATATCAATCTTCAAAATTTTGTTCTTCGAATTGTGGTCTAAAATTACATGCAAATATCTTGGCTGACTTAGACCTATTAGACGAACTAAGTTTAATGTGTTCGAAATATAAATTGGAGTCAATTGAGTTTAATATGAGAAATATATACAAAATAATGCAAGAAGTAATATATGAAGCAAGTTAAATTTTTATATATAAGAAGAGAGTAGAAGGAAAAAATGTTGACGCATAATAGGTTTTATAATATAACTTGAATAAACTTTTGTAATATCGTAATATGCAATTTTTCCTATCTCTATGTTGCTCCCAAGCAACGTCTCAAGTGAACCGGATCTGTTTTTAAATTCCCCGTCTTGAAAACTCGAAGCGTGTATCGTAAAAGGTCAGTAGCTCATAAAATGGAGAACAATCGCCAAGAAAATCAAGGGAGATTCTCGTTTCAAAACACTTCGTATTCACAAAATTCTCCTTTTCTCCCTCTTTCGCTCTTCCTGTCTTGTAGTTTTATCACATTTACAGCAATAAAAGATGCAAGCGAACGCATTATGCGAATTTCTTCTGCATTTTGATCTTTAACTTTTCCCATCTACGTTAATTTTCTCTTACAACACATGTTGACGCGGTACCTTTAAAAATACAATGTCGTTGCACACAAATACACCGCGTTTAACGTTGAAAATTCGCGAAAATTCATGTAACGTATATAAACTATATAAATGCCTTTCCGCATTTTGAGTTTGTATAACTTTCAGTTAATCGTGTGTTAACTTTGTCCATGTGGTTTATGAATTTACTGGTTGTTTACCACGTTTCAATGCCGCAGGAGTCCCCGACGAGCAACCACTGGCGTGTCCATTTACGATATACACATGCAGAATTAATGAACAAAATTGCGCGCAATCGAAATGATCATCGGAATACATTTTCTTCCAATTTTCTATACTTTTCAATATATATATATATATATATATATATATAAATATATTAATTAAACAAAATTAATGTAGGTATTAAAAAACTCTTCAAATATGGGTACGCGTATACGGCGGGCACATGCGTGACATACTTCACTTACATTAATTAGATTGTGCGCTAAAGCTTGAACAGAAATTTCAACAAATTTACGAAGCGGTAAAGAGGTGCTTCGCCAGCTTTCGAGAACAATATTTTCGCGAGAATACGTGACAGTTGTTGGAACTTAAACTAGATAGTTCCCCCATCAAGTTTCTAAATTTTCCGATAAATAGGATACAATTTCCGCTGATACACATTTATAGATATTATTTGACTTAAACTTTTTATAAAGAAAGAGAGAGAGAGAGAGGGTTGTATGTGTCTATATAAAATTCTTCTTCTTGTTCTTCTCATTTAATTAAGAATCGAGAATGTAACGTGAGACCGTCTTTTTTTCGAAGAAATACATGGACAAATTAAGCGAGCAATTAAGGATCCCCTGCTAATGACGAGACAGAGACACCACAAAGTGCCCTGTCAAAGAGCAATTCGAGGTCCATTATCACAATGGACAGACTAAAAGTTCGATTGACACGTAGTTTATATATAAAGAATCAGGTGACGGATATTCGATACGGTGAAAGTTTT